AGAGCGGGAAGTAATTTGGGTGTAGTGGTCATCAGGACTTGCTTGAAGGCAGAAAACATCAAGCAGTCAACATGTCCTGTTTGCAATGAGAATATCGGTTAACTTTGTCACCCTGAGTGAAAGTTTGCTTGGACTTTAGCCTCCAAACTTTGAGCTGCCTAGTCCAGGTTGGTAGAGGATCACAAATAAACTTGTGATAAATTCGTGCATAGAGGACATTGGTAAACCCCTTCCAAAGAAGCGTGGGGGCTTTTTTTGTGTGCTGGTTTTGTTTTGTTTTCCCAATGAGTTAATAATGTCATAGGATGGTCTGGATACAAAAGAGCTGCCAAAGTCTGCTGCTACTTTTGAAAAAGTATTTGGTGTGAACCAGGTCTTCTGTCTTGAAGGAGGTTAGCCTGACATAACACTTTAAGGTAAATGTTTTGTATGTTGTTGTTTAGTTTGTCTTAGTTTAAATTAGTTTTCAAAACTGCAGGCATGTGCTCCTGTAGAGATACAGTTTTTTGGTGTAGGAAAATCTGATTGTTTTTTATTTTCCCATAGCTATCAATACATTAAGGGGTACTTTCTCTTGTTTTCTATTTCATCAGAGCAGTATGTGCATATTTTTTCATGCTTTACTCCAATAGCCTGTGATATTGAATAGCTGTGGAATGGGTTTATGTTGGCAGGCTTTTGGGAGGTAAAGGCACTGAAGGCTGGCTTACTTGCAGTTTGGCCCTCAAATACCAAGAAAGTGTTGTGGAGTAGTGGACCTTTACACTAGGGAAGGAAAGAAGATCTTAAGGAATGTATATAGAATTTCCCTGTTGACTCATGCATCTGATCTGAGGCAGGAAATGAAAACTTTTTTCTGTTATGATGTCAGCAAACAGTCAAACTGGAAGTTCTGGGTAGCTGTTGAAATGGCTACGTTGAAGGCAGCTGATCTCCTTCTAGTCTGCAGCATGGAGAAGGTGTCAGTTTTAGTTTTCCAGAAGTTATGTGCTTTTCTGAGCTTCATAATGTCTTTCCTCTCTGAGAGGGATTGCCAAATATCTTTTCTCAAGCTTCTGTTTGGAAGAACGGACTATTGCGAAATTGGGGGTTTATTGACTTAAATTTGTAACTCCTGCAGGTGCTGTAAAACTTAGCATGTAATCCTTGCTTAAGGTAAATGCAGTTGCTTTTTTTTTAAAGCACTGGTAAAGACTGAAAGGTCCTAATAGTCAGTTTTATAGTTTATTTCCAGTTTAATGCTGCAAATAGCATTTTCTTACTAACAGTCCTGTCTTTGCAGTGTTGGAGTCTGTTTTCCTCTTTCAACATGGAACATAGACACGAACTGCTATTTGATCTGGTAGATCAGATTAAACCCCAAACTAGCCGTAACATTTCTAGAAATAGCTCGGTGGCGAACATTGAAAGCAGGCATTACAAATTGAATAGAAATGTGTCCTTAGGATATTTCTTACACTTGCATATGTCTTGTCCTCACTTTCCTCATCGAACTTAATGAGTGAGGAATGATGTTAATTCCTGTGTTTCTGTTTAGGAAAGAGAAATGTTGCCTCATTTGTTTTCTGCCTTGTTTTCCTCCTTTTTTTTTTTTTTTAAATTGTGGAAATACTATTTCTGTCCTGCCACATTGTGTTTCCATTCCTTAAACACTACCTGTAAAATAAAACTTCCTGTTGTTTTTGTAAATACTTCGACTTTGCAAGCCCTTTGTGTATAAAGTGATTTGCAGAATCTTCTCCCCATACACAGTGTAGGAGAAGTATTATAGAGGCGAGTTTATTAACATTTAGCTGAGTAGTTATGATCATACGTACATCTGTTGTCCTGGGTGTGTTTGAGGGTGGAAAACAGGATTTGTGATGGTGTGAGCACTACACTGAGGAACATAGGTGGGCGTTTCCATTCTTTGTCTTCTTTGTGTCTGTCTGGTTTCTGCTATAAGATAGCAAGAGGAGAGAGAAAGCATTGTGCCTTGGCATGTTCTAAGGTCTGAATGTGAGTAGACAGCAACAGCAGGTCTTCCACCTGATTTCACTGCTGTCCTTGAGCACAAATACATAGGAGGAGCTCTAGAGCAGATAAAGTAGCAGTATCTTAACTGGCGTGCAGATCAAAGCGCTGGATGATCGCTATCTGCTGTTTACATATTAGAGTGGGAAAGAGCTTAGGCTGGCCTCTGCCATGGAAGGAAGAAGCCCTCTTGGGAGGGCAACATGCTGTTTAGTTTTTTGCTTTCTTTCAGACCTGTCTGCAGATGTTGAAAAGCTTTGATTTTATGGGCAGGTGCTGAAGCCTATTAGCAGTTATTTTTAAAATTCTTGTCCCTTTATGACACTTCTGATGGAGGTCAAGGGAGTCTGAAGATTGAAGTAAAGATCAGTAGTCCTAATGTCTTAGGGTAAGTATCTGCCACTCCTCTGATAGGCTTGCTTTATTACCAACTGCTGTTGAGATCCAAAGTGGGTATGATGGAGGTTAGTCTTGAAGAGGTTAAGGGAATTAAACATTTAGGCAGTGTTTCAGGAAAAGTGCATTATCTTTCAAATGCAGTCAGCATTCATAGGATGTCCTACTTATTTGCTTATGTTTACGTAGGTACACGACTTCTGTTTTCTTTTTCTGATCCACTGTGTTCTTTCTGTGTTCTTCATGCTGTAACTGTATGGATGTCTCTTTGCTCTTTAAAATTAGTGTGGAAACCTGGAAATGCAGTGTATTCTTTTAAGTGTGCAGCAATAGTGAATTTGTATTGAGATGCAGCCTAACAACTTATGTGCTGTTTTGATCTTTAGTATGTATTGAATTCAGCATTTTTTGTATTTCAGATGATAAGAAAGATATTGACCATGAAACAGTGGTGGAAGAGCAGATCATTGGAGAGAATTCTCCTCCAGATTACTCAGAGTACATGACAGGGAAGAAACTTCCTCCTGGTGGAATACCTGGCATTGACCTCTCAGACCCCAAACAACTGGCTGAATTTGCTAGGTAAGTAGGACAAAAGGATCTTAAAACTAAAATGGTTGTCTTTTCACTGACTTAATTATGAAATTGTTAGGCAAAGTAAATGTTAGATTTAGCATGGCTTATTGTTCCATTTAATCATCTTCTGAAACAAGGGACTTAATTCAGAACAGAGTAGCTGATACTGTGTTAAAATAATTGGGTTTTATATTCAGCAGTGACTTCCGATCTTTAGTTCTCATTGGGTAAGGCAGGACCTAAATACATTGATAGATTACGTCTTTTATTGACAGAAAGCATCTTTCATGTGAGTAGTCGTAGGTTCTTTGCTGATAAGGATCTGATAAGCGAAATGCTGCAGGAAAGCTATACTACAGTATTTAGTGTGTAAAGCCACTTACTGTTCTTTTTCACCTGCCTCTTTAAGCTCTAGGTGTTAAAACTTCTTTTTAATGGAGTCGTGTGTGTTGCACTTTCAGGTGCCACTAATAACTGCAGGTTCACGTTTGGTGACCATACCGTGTGGGTTTTCCTCTAGTGAATCAGAATTGTCACTCCTTTACATATCCATACGTTGACCTGAGTTACAAGGTAACTTTTACTTTCAAATAGAGCTGTCGTGACAGAAGGCCTGATCTACGGGGGAGTACCGGAAGTGTCGTGCGTCTCTTTTTTCCCCCGTCCCCCGCCCCTGTCCCCCGTCCTCCGCAGAGCCGCTGGCTCTGGTGCGCAGTGGCAGCCGGTGGCCACCAGAGGGCAACCGTGAGGCCACCAAAGATCTTAGGCTTCGGCACTTGGGAGCTGTGAGATTAGGGTTGCCTTTGCAGCGTTTATTTGGTCCCCTTCTTTGTGTGCCTGTGCTTGTAGTTACCAACGGCATGCTCCTCCACTCGCTGCCAGGGCATAGGCAGCCCTAGTGCTGGCGTCCCCAGGTACCTGAGCACAACTGTCAGCTTCCTGCAGCTGCTGTTACCGGGTTTTCCCATGTTGAAAGCAAAATGTAGTGAAGCTACACTGACTGTTACCAGCTGGCTGTTCCTCAGAGCTCTGGTGTACAATTCTGACACTTAGAGCAGGTAGCTGCTCAGGTGTTCTTACTCTTACTTCCTGGGTCAGCTAGTAGAGGGAGAAGTAAGTTGTTGGGGTTTTGGTTTGGGTTTTTTTGTTGTTTTGGTGAGTTTTTGGTTTGGTTTGGGTTTTTTGGTTTGGTTTTTTTTTTTTTTTCTGCTAGGTTTTTCAGCTAGTTGCTAGTTGGCAGGGACCGTTGAGACAAGTTCTGGTCTGGCTTCTTGGTTAGGTGGATCTCGGTGTCCAGTGTGTGTGTCTACTCTTGTTTCACCCCTTCGATCTTCCTGCTTTTTACAAGCTTGTTCTGTTACTTTTCAGTGTGTTTGTGCCAGAGGATCACCAGCACAGCCTCATCCCACAGTTATTTTCAATAAAGCCATTGAACTGTGGGTTTTGAAGGCTTCTAGTAAGATAGTTTTGGAGGGCTTGCTCCCTGGTTCAGGCTATCTGATCTGGAAATGTATAAAAAGACATCATGAACAACTGAAAGGAGGATTTTGGCTAAAGTGGTGGTTGGTCCTAGCTATTGATACTGTTCTTACTCGCTTTACTATTGTTGATCAAAATGATTGTGTTTTCCTCTGAGACCTGCTGAGAGGTTAATACAATTTTTTTGTGAAAGCGTTTAAGTGATACTCTGAGTGTACATAGCAGTTTAGTTCTAAAAATGTTACTTACACATTTCTCTTCCTCGTGTGCTTAGAATGGTATTCTCAGTTATTTCAAAACATGCTGAAACCTTTGGTTCTATTAAACAAATGTTTAATAAGTACTGAATAGCTATCTTTTGTTAGGAAGTTTAGATAGTTTCTCATAGGGTATTCTCCATGCAAATACTGAGTATTTTTCTCCAGATTGGTTTGAGTACTTGAAATGGTTGCCAGGATTTAGGCTTCTTGAAATGAGCAGATTGCTTCTATCAGATCTGTCTGCATATTTCTTAATATTGTAAAATGTAGTGCATCCTTGGGCTTTAGTTCATTTTCTGTTGCGAAAACAGTGGCAGCTGGCAGCAATTTAAAATTACCACTTTTTTTATTCATGGTAGAATGTTCTAGGATGTTCTAGAGCTAGAATTCATAGCAGATGGTGGAAGGACTGAGTTCTATATGTGTAGTCTCTTTTCTGTTAATATATTTCTGTAAAGCAGATAAAATGTAGTCCACTTTAGTTGTAAGAAGAATATATGGTGATAGAGTCAGCAACCTGGGGGGGACATCACCTTTAGCAATATCCCCAAGTTGCTCAAAACCTATGAAGAATTGTTCTGATAGCAAAATTGTAGATATGTGAAACCTTCAAGCGTCTTCTGTTTCAGGAAAGGTTTTTTGATTTCTTAGTCAGAATTGATGACTGTCAAACTTTTACTCTTGCCTTAAAGGAAAATGTAAAAGAAAACTGTGTTGAATTATGATATTAAATGATTGTGTATAGCTGAGGCTGAAGAATATCAGTGTATTAGAATTTGTATATTGCTTGTTACGCTCTTGGTCCTCTTGCAGTGAAGCGTGTTGAAGGGACTCCTTTTAGCTAATAACATGAATTCAAGTACTGGTATCAGTATAAAAATAGGTTCGTAGATAAGTTGTCTTATTGGTCTACATTGCTGTGTGCAGTATCACTAGAAACCTTGCATCGCAAACTGGAAGAAAAAACTGGGTTTACATGTACTGGAATTGGGTTTGGATGTCCTAGGAATACAGTGGTTCATACTAAAAGAATGTGTTTAGCGTAAATTTCTCTGAAAATTTCAAGCATTGCTGGTTGCTTTACAGTTCAGAATTTTGAAATTCTCAGTAGCTGCATTCTGAAAACTGTGAGCAGCATGTGAAGGTGATACTGTTACTTTTAAACTTACTAAGTAGCCTCACATGCTTTGAATAAGGTTTTGAATAACAAATTTGTATTTTGATGACTTGGAAAAAAAAAAAAGTTGTGCATAGTCTACATATGAAGAAGCATGAACTGGCTAGTAAATTGGTATGCTAAGTGTATCTTGTGCAATTGAAAGCAAGTTTGTTTGGGGTTCCTTTCCTATTTTCATTAAGGTAGTTGGAAGAATCTTGCTATATTTGTAGAAATTAGTTATTCAAAACTGGGCCAGATTTACTGTTTATAACCATGCAGCTTAGTTTGATTTAAGGATAAATTGACTGAGACATTTGCGTCAATTCTTAGGGACAAAGTTGTGAGGTTAAGTTTAAACAGGCAAAGCTTGAATTCTAGTAACAGAAGGTAACAGATTTCAGGCAAGGTTCTGGAGTTCTGATTATGATCCGGTTAGTGAGAGGTAAGGCTGGGGTGGACTTGATACTCGAAGTCCTCTGTAGCTCTGCAGCCCTTTTTTTTTTTTTTTTTTTTAAAGTGGTAGTGATTCAGCAGCTGCTCCGGACAGCCGTGCTGCTCAGCAGCTAGGTGGCACTAGCAGAGTGAGCAGTTACACTCTCTCTTGTGATACGGTTGTCTTTCACCACTTTTAGTGCATTTGTCATTGAGTCATGTAGCAGGAATCCGGATCCTTTAAATGGAACTAGCTTTTCCTGGAAAGGCTTTTATACATTCTAAAACTATTGAAAACACTATTCTGTAGTTAGCTGTGAAGAAGTCATAGCTACTTGATAATAAAAGCTTGGGGAAGTAGCAGATGTATTTCTACTTGGTACCTATGGCAAATTCCCTCAAAGCAAGCCACGAAAAAGGATATCCCTGATTGCCCTCTCTCTCCCTCTTGCCCTCCAGACAGATACATGACTGAACCGTCTAAAGACAGCAGAATACAGACATCAGTGAAGCTAAGAAATGAGAGGAATATGCTGTAGCTGGAAAATGGGCACAGTAATGGGTCCTAGTGTTAAAAACTTTACTCTCCGTGGCTTTATCTTCTGCTCTGCTTAGTGCCTTTTCTGAAGGAGAGCTGTTGTGAGGACTGCCCTTCCTTTCTATCCACTTTCCAAAACGAATAGAGAACAAAGGAGAGGAAACTGCATTAGAGTTTGAAATCGGACACCTTTCTTACAAGTGATAAAGCATTATGGTCAGCTAGATTTATGACTCAGGCCTCTTTATGAGGTGTACGCTTTTGTATTGGTTCTGTTCTTGCTACAGGAGGCTTAAAGGGCAGTAAACTGACAATTGCTTTACCCAAAGTGTTCTTCTAGGGGAGGGGAAATACCTTGCTCTGCATCACACTGCAAAGGTCACTCTTTCTGTTTACACATATGATACTCTTCATAACTGGAACAAAACTAGTAATTATTTTTGCCAGAATCTTGGAGAGGAGAACTTTTTTCTTTTTATGACATTTTGTTACCTACATGTGACTGAAGCATGGTAGGACACTGGCTGTAGGCTCCTTCATTGTAGATAGATTCCTAGGACACCTTGTGCCACTCCCCTTTTGTCTATTTATCCAAAAGCCAGTCTAGCCAGTTTCAGGAGTTCTTCAGCACAAATGAATTCTTGTAGCAGCGTGGGACTGCGGCGCTCAGGTTATTTCTGCCTCAGCAGGGCAGTACAAGGGGAACCGCAGTGAGGGTACAGATCAGAAGTGGCAGGGATACTGCTGATAGAGAATGATTTCCTCCTGTAACTATTCTTAGGGATGCGATCATCAGCACAGGGAACATCACTGCTGGTCATCAGAGACCTCCAGGATGTGTCAAAGGAGTTTCCTGAGAGAGAGTAATGCTGTTTAGGTTAGATTTATGTATAAAGGGAGAAGAAAGGATGTGAGAAGTTTAACAGAGACAAAAAAAAAAAAAAAAAAAGGAGATAATGGAATGAGGAGGAAATTTGTACTTTTGTTTTGGGTTGGTTTGTTTGTTTTTGATTTATGGATTTCCTTTATTCCTAGCCTTAACTGTTTCTGTGGCTAACTTTTTAAAATTATGTCTATCTACAAGACAATAGGTTGTGGAGATTGACAGAGGTTGGGCTGGGGATTGGTTCTGTCAAGGTACAGTTCTTTCAGTTCAGCTAGGTAGATGAAACGAGGAAGTTATGTGTTACCTTGCGATGCTGCACAGAGTTGCTTGCTTTATTTTGAGGAACTGAGTGGTTTAATACGTGTGATTTCGCTCAATCTTCTTTATGCATGGATGATAGTGTGCTTATATGGAGCTCATTCTGTGAAGCTGATGGGTTGCACACCATCCTGCTCCCTCTGCTTTCCCCCATTCCCTCCCTCCAGCCCCCCAATACAAGTTAACAGACTTAGCCTTTAACTGCAGTGTCCCACTGTCTTGATCCAAAAGGTGCTTTTGCTCGTTTTTTTGCGGTTAGCTAGTCTGTCTTTGCTACTACTAGGCACGGCCCATATAAACTCACTTGCAGAAATGAAAATTCTGATCTTGCTATGTAAATTGGCTTTCTGCAAGGACAGCTGTTTCAAAAGTTCTGCCCAGGTGTTAATGTGTGTGTGTGTAGTTGTTTTAAATAGTAGTGTGTGTTAGAGTTCTGTTTTTGATTAATGTTTCAGGCTAAGAAAACTTGGATGGAGCTGGTAGAGATGCTCTACTGGGTGGGAGCCAAAAGTCTAACCACCAGCAAGAGCTACCTGCAACAGTGTAATTTAAGATCAACAGCCCAGGTTCTAGTCTGATCTCCTTTTGCAGAAAGTTAATTTTGAAGTAAGACCAAAATCTTTTTTCTAATACGTTTGAATATGTAAGTCTTTAAACTCTTCTTTTTGTGATTGTCCGTGTGGATTCCACAGCCTTGTGAGCAAGGTGATGTTTTGGGACAAAATGGTCTGTTGTAGCTGTGCCTGTGGTGACTGTGGCCCAACAGCTTCTCCCTGCCTGTGGCACAGAAGTATAACCTGGCCACCGTTTGCTGCCTCTTCCTGTTGGAAGTGTCTGCCTCCGTTTTATTGAATAACTTGGTTGCCTGTGGAACCCTCTGCTTATACGCAGCCTTGTTCCACATTTTAAGCTTATGTTGCCCGCTTCCCGTACTTCCAGAAGAAATAAAAAGATTTAAAATCTTCCCCTTTGTTAGCTAAACTTGGTTGGCATTTTGTAGTCAGTAAGGACTAAATGTTTTTACGTTCAAGTATGCTGCTGGGCTGGTAACTCCTCACTTCAGAAACAAAGCTTGAAAATTAAAAAGTCAGCTTATTCCAGAATGGACACTTGTAATGTTACATGCCTGTTCAGACGCTGAACTGAAAAATGTAAGGTGTATATTGAAGCTCCAGTCTGTTCCATGTCTGACTATGCAGTTCAGCTGTGACTGATTCCTCAAGCTTCCTGACTACACTAGCCAGGGTATTTTCCCTCTCATTCTACTTCAGTGGCCTGTTAACAGATGACACTGTTGCAGCATTTCTTTCTCAAAGACTGACAATACCAGAGACAAGACATAAGAGCTATGAATAGGACTTAATGTGATGATCCTATGCCAAGTGTAAAAAGTGCAGGTGCTGCCCACTAAAGCTGTTTACCATTATCTCTTGTTAGAGATTCTGATCTCTCCCTTTACAGGTGGTCAATTAAGACTTCAGAACAACAGTAGTTTTACTCATTCTGAAGACATCATGGACAGAGATCTTGGGCCTAGGAATTTTTTGCTTTGTTTTTTGGGTCTGGGGGAATGACTTGGCCAACATTTAACAAGTTAATAGAAGTAAAGGAGGTGCTTTTGGCACCAGCTTTGTCCCCTAAGGGTATTTGTTCTCTGATGGCATGAAACCCTGGAACTATGTTCTCTCGTGTTCTGTCTTGTCAAAGCATTCTTCTGTGTGTCCATTTTGGCATAACAGACACTCATTTCTGTACCTTTTCCTTTTGTAAAAATCATAGAAACATAGTAAGGAGAATCCCATGCAAAGGGTAGTTGAAAGCTTTCTGCAGGGGTACTGTGAGAAAGCTTGTGTGTGTATTTTCCTATAGCCTCGGTACACGTAGTACTATCAGTCTAGAACCTCACTGAAGAGTGTAGTCAGTCAGTTAATCCCAATCACTTGTTTGGATTTAGGTATTTAATACTTTACTCAAAGAGACTGTGTAAACTAAACATAGCACAATCATTCTGTATTCCAGTTGGATTATATAAATTAAATCTAATTAATAAGGTCATCTAAATTGGTCTGTGGTCTCAGAAAAAGAAAAGTTATCGGGAAAGTTAAGATAATAAAGAGGCAGATCTACAGGAAGAGATCTAGTTTACTGTATTCAGGATGTTTCTGCCCTTAAATTGATGAAATGTTTAGGTATGCTGCTGGTGATGGTGCAAGAGGAGCTTTGTCAGCAGTAAACCCCGTCTTCTTGGAGCTGTTAATATCTGTAAATGAGGGGATTATTGGATCAGATACTCTCCAGCTTCCATATTTTTGTCACATCAGTATTTTTAATCCTGCAGGAGACTGCAGTGTTCTTCAGTTAGCACTGTGCGTATTCATTGTAGTCTGGAGATGCTGAGCCAGCAGGAGTTTCCTAAGCGTCCACTTAAAGAAAAGAGCAAATGCAGCCTCTAAATCGTTGGGTTTTCACGTTGTGTCTCTGAAGTGGCTGTCAAGTGCTTTAGTTCATATGTCATCACTTGAACTGTGCTACATCTGCAATACTGAGAGGAGTCAGATTGTTTGAGGGACAAATGATAGCCCACAGAGCCACACGGGACTTCTCAGTCTTCACTGGTAGTTATAAGATTTTCCTGGATCTAGTCTTCAGGACTTCTCAGGGATGTTATTCAGTGCTCTTGCCTTAATTCAGCCTCACAGGGCCTTCTATTGCTGTCCTCTCTGACCTGTCCACATGAAGGAGGCAGGTGAAACAGCAGGTTTCAGCCATATGGATAGGATTGTGACAGTACCAAAGATGGCTAGACCCTGCCTGCAAATAAAGAAATGCTTATGTGGTCAAATTGGAGGGGGTTTAGCTTATTTTCCCTCCAGTGCTTGGGAATTATTTTGAACTTTTAGAAGTTGCTCTTTAGCCAGTCTCAGATCAATTATTAAAAATGCATGTAAAAAAAAAATACATGTATGCGCTCCTCGGAGATCTCTTCCCCCAACCCTGTTCTTTCATATCTGTTTCCAGGAACTGAATTCAAGGGGTTCAAAACTGTCTTGGATAGCAACAGACTCCTCTCTTTCTTAGTGTTAAGAATAGTGATTCTGGTAGTTCTAATTCTTCGGTTAAATTCAAGCCACTCATTTCTGTTTAACTGAGATGAGAGAGTACATCAGAAAACATTTCATTTAACTTAGAGATAAGTAGCTACCTTGCCATACAGAACTATCTTGTACTGTGTTACCAGGAAAAGTCGTTCAGGAACTCACTTAGACTAGCTCCCTTTCTACAGCAAGGTTTTGAAATGTGCAAAGTCTCGTTACTTACCTACGTGAATTCGCAGCTGTATGAGGTGCATTTATTTTCACTTACCTACCTCCACCATAAGGTGGAGATAAGCCATTTCTTTTTGATGTTTTGGAAACACCACTACAGGTTTGAGAAATAAAGACAGGTAAAAGGTGCAGTGCACTTCTCTGGAATAGTGTCCACACAGCTGACTTCCCTGACATTCAGGCAGGTGGTTGTTAAGGCAGGACTGTTCTAACGTTGTTTTCTACAATGAGTCTTACTGTATTTGAAACACCTAACACATGGAAGCAGTAGTTTGCTGGGCTCCCTATGGTGCCGATGGAGACCAATGGTGCCCATAAAGCAACAATGAAGATTCCGGTCATGACCAAGAGTAAACAGGTGATTGCTTGTCAGTTGTCAAGAGTGGAATACATGTGTACAGTAGCTTAAAGTAAAAATAACTGCAGTTTCCATGGTTACAACAGATGTCTGCATTGTCTATGTAGATTCCAAAACTTGCCTGCCTTTCCTGCTTGTGTAGAGTTTTCTTCTGAAGTCTTGTGTGGTGAAAATACTGAAGAACGATTGAAGCTACTCTGTATTTCATGTCCTTGTGCAGGGGTGGAGAAGAAGTGAAGATAAATAGGCCACATGGGTACTGGCGGAACAGAGTTTTCAAACAAAACCTCTTAATTACAATTAGTATAAGTTAGAAAAAAACCCTCTATTTCCACATATTCAAAGGACTAGGAAGGTAGTATTAAATGTCTTACTGTGTATTTGAGAGGTCCTTCTGGAAAAGCTGAAGTTTCCAAATGCCGAATTATACTGTTAATATTATTATGACTGTTTTGAAAATACTAAACCGAGTGCGACTGATGCACATGATACTATTAAATAAATGTGCACATTGTGTGGGCAGTGATGGGAGAAGAGCTGTCTGCTAATGTTTTTCTACTTTTTTGTTTTTACCTTTAAGAATGAAACCGAGAAAAATTAAAGAAGATGATGCTCCACGAACGATAGCTTGTCCTCACAAAGTAAGTGAAGTACTCAGCTTCTGAGTAGACAGTAATTTGTAGACCAGATATTTATATTGGTGTTTTCTCTTGAGAATGAGTAACAAAAATATCTTACTGTTAATAGACTTCACTCAGTTGATTGTTTTTTTTAGTTATTATTCTTTAGAGGCTTCCTTAGAAACCTTTCACTGAATAATATGTTATTCCCATTCCTTGTCTTAAGGTTAGTGCATCCCTAATCTTCTGGTAACCATGATGCACAGTCCCTAACATGCTGGTTTTACTGTTGTGATTTCCTGCCACCCAAGAATACATACTTGAAAGAATGTTCTGAAAGCTGTTCAAAGTACGTTCCTAAGATCTATATATCCTCTACTTGGAAACTATGACAGATGTGGAGTCTAGATCAGGAATCAGCAATTTATGGTGTGGATGCCAAAGTCAGCATTATTGGAAGACTTTGAATTACATTCAACAGAGCTGGAAGGTGCATCATCCTGAAAGAGAGGGAGAGGCATCTTGGAGATATGATTCTGACCCACTGGTAGTGGGGAAGCCTCTGTCTTGAATAAATGTTGCCAGTCACCTAGACTGGTAGCATCTGGCTTTACTGCATTATCCAGCTTTTGTAGAGCTTCGTTAGCTGACTTAGTCTGTAATGAAAAAAGACAAATACAATCTTGCTGACTTCTGGTCTAGATAAGTGTGAGCCTAAGCAAATAATCAGGGCAGATCGCTAATAGTGCACATAAGAGAGCGTGAATCAAAGGCTTCTTTCTGACAGCCATGGTCTAAGGAATTTGCTGGATTCCTCTTTGTGCTTATATTGATTTCCAGTGCTTCACATTCTACAAGTGTCATGTTTTTATTGTAGTATAGCATGTGGAGATACAGGAACAGTTACTCCTTATAGCACCAAGGAATGCTGCCTTCATTTCTTTGATTTACTTTTTCATAGCCTCAACTTCATCTGAACAGGGGGAAAAAAAAGAATATTCTGTCCTTCCATTTTCTGACTTTCAGTGTGTCTAGGCTTTGTGCATTTAGGAGTCCAGTTTAAAAAGAAATATATTGTAGAAGTTGTAACTGCTCCTCTGAGAGGCAAGCAGGGACTTTGAAATAAATGCAAGAAAAATTGGTATGTTTATTTTGGTACTGCTTTACCCCACCCAATGCAATGAATGGTGGCACAACACTTCTTGAATGAGCCAAAGAAATTCTAGTGTCTGAAGAGAGAACTCCTCCTCAAAGTGGCATTTCCCCCTTTTTTAAGAAATAAGGCATATTTAAATGTGGTTATTAGTTTTGAAAAAAATAATTTCCCAAGAGGAAGCCTGCAGAATTTAAGATTAGCAATTTAATGTTCCTTTAGGTTCTGTTGTTGAATTTTATGCTTCATAACACAGTGATGTTGGTAGACTAGTTTCGTCTAAGTTTAAACAGCATCACTTGGAGTACAGATGGAATTTACAGTTGTTAATAGGATTTTATGAGTGATTTTGAACATTGAGGAAGACATTTATAAAACATATGATAGATGTCTATCGATTGTCCCTAAAAGGTGGAAAAAAAAAGGTATAGAAAGATTCGGTAAAGAGAGGCCCAAGTCACTGCTGGCTTAAGAGTACTCTGGAATCAAAAGTAGTAATTCTGTGTCGATGCAGCATGGACCCAGATTAAGACTTCTGATGCTGTACCTGAGTTAATGTGAGTATCTTTTGCTTTTAGGTTGAGTTGGCACTAACTCAGAGATTCTTCTACCTTATTCGGTTGCTTGATATCACTTTGTAGGTTTAAACTGTAGAAGCAGTGGGAGTCTTTATATCTCAAGGTGGTAGTGATCAAGCTGCTGCTGCCAGTTTGGCCAAGGTAGTTTCTGTAAATTCTTAGGTGCTCCATTTCTTCTCAGGAATAAGAAGGAAGAGGACAGAATGTTGGGAGACGTAGTGGTGCACGTACAAATTGGTGCTAGAGAACAATTTGTGGTATATTGGAGACTATAGCGTATATTGTAGTGCTGTAGTACTCAGAATATAGCACGTTGGAGAATATGCTATAGGTATTCATGAACTATCATTCTGTCTTTTTTTTTTTTTTTTTTTCTTCCCTGAAACCGTTAAGTGCTCTTGTTTTGTTTATTCATTTGTTTCTATCAGAGCTACATCTTCTCCATGAGACTGTCCTATTAATTCATTTGACGGCATATGGTTCATAATACGAAGCAAAAAGAGGATTTGGGGTTTTTTTGTTTGGGATTGTGTATTTTGTTTATTTTTGTCAGCTTTTCAAGTGATTAGTTTTCTTGGTATTGCATTTTTTAAAATAAATGTAAGGGGTCTCTTTTTCAGGGCCAACTTTTAAGAAAGTATTCAGGATATAAAAGCATTTTAAATGCTTGTACTGTAGCAGATAAGCTAGTTCTGATAAAGAGGGTTTTATCTAATAATTGAGTTTCACTGTTCTTTTTAAGGGCTGCACAAAGATGTTCAGGGACAACTCTGCCATGAGGAAGCATCTGCACACTCACGGCCCTCGAGTACACGTATGTGCAGAGTGTGGCAAGGCCTTTGTGGAGAGCTCAAAACTAAAGCGACATCAGCTAGTTCACACTGGAGAGAAACCCTTTCAGGTATTCTTAACCTCGAGACATCAGTACCACAACTTATTTGATCAACTTGTGTAGACTGTAACTGTAACCTAGCGTCCATATGGCTTTGTGGATACTGTGTTTTTTCTAAAATCGGAGGAGGCACTGAATGATCACCTTAAAAATGGGAAGTCCCCTTAAGCTAATTTCGTTTAACTGTTTCCGTGAGCTTTTGTTAGAAATGAGCAAATTTTATGTACATAGGAGATACCTTCCAAAATATGATGTAAAGTTACCCACTTTAAAAACAAAGTCTGCAGTTAATGCTGAATGAGGAAAATGTCTCTTTCTCCTCCTCATCTTTTCAGCTTAGCGCTTGTGGCCAACTGAGGCTCAGGGCTGTTTGCTCAGTTGACTCACGGTACTAGATTTCAGTATTGGGTATTAATCAGTTGTCAGCAAAATGATGATAGTCGCTGGATCTCTTTCTGTTCATATCAAGTCACGTGAACTGCTGCCACCAGAGGTCCCCTGCCTACTTCATATGATCCTCCTTATAAAACTTTACAGGTATCCTTAGCCTTGAGCGTATCTGTTTTCCAGTACATGTGTAAGATTTTTATTCTTTTTTTTAAAAATAAATTATTTCAGCAGCTGGATTTGCAATCCTCAGGCTTTCACTTAGATGTGTATGCTGGGTCTGCTGTGTGGTAAATACAAGTATGTACCACTAAAGATGCTGCCCTTTGTATTCCAAGTCTATCTTAAAAGTAAAGCTGGGAAAATGAGCAAATCTTTGCAAATTATCGCTAAAAGGGGGAAATTCTGCTGTGAAACTGTCTTTGTTTTCTAGTTCAGCATACCAAATAGAGTTTCAGATGCAGAGGATGTTTTTAGTGAAAGCATTTGCTTGCAAGCTGGAAGTTATTTCCCTCTTTGAAAATAGATACACTACTGTGGTAAAACAACCTGAAGTATTAATTTTAGTTTTTTAAGGCAGTTTACAAGTGATGCCCACAGCTTCACCTATAATAATCTTGAGCACCTAGCTTCGTGTTTGTGCAGTCCGGTGACTTAAAGAATATTATTCTCATCAGTGATTGAAATGAGTGCTGTTTTGTTAGCTAATGGAGTATGTCTCTTCCTTTCAACAGTGTACGTTTGAAGGATGTGGAAAGCGTTTTTCACTGGACTTCAATTTACGCACACATGTGCGAATTCATACTGGCGACAGGCCCTACGTTTGCCCATTTGACGGCTGCAATAAGAAGTTTGCGCAATCAACTAACCTGAAATCTCACATCTTAACACACGCTAAGGCCAAAAACAACCAGTGAAAGTTGGAGGAGAAAGTTCTTGAACTCAAAGCATCTTACAGGAGTATGAATTGGAAATAAATACGCCTCCCCTTTGTATATTGTTTCTAGGAAAGAATTTTAAAAAAAGAACCCTACAAACTTAAAGGACGTGTTTTGATAAGTAGTAAATAAAAAGAAAAGAAAAAAAAAAAAACAAACCACAAAATAAACTTTAAGGTGACGTTGCTAAGATGCTCTACCTTGCTCTGTAATCCCGTTTCAAGAACGCGGTGTTTTGTAAAGTGTGGCCCCATCCGGAGGGGTCAGTTCATGAACTTGCATCAGAAAAGACAATTCTTTATACAACAGTGCTAAAATTGGACTTCTTTTCACGTTCTTATAAATATGAAGCTCACCTGTTGCTTACAATTTTTTTAATTTTGTATTTTCCTAAGTGTGCATATTGTACACTTTTTGGGGATATGCGTAGTAATGCTATGTGTGATTTTTCTGGAGGTTGGTAACTTTGCTTGCGGTAGATTTTCTTTAAAAGAATGGGCAGTTACATGCATACTTCAAAAGTATTTTCCTGTAAAGAAAAAAAGTTATATAGGTTTTGTTTGCTATCTTAATTTTGGTTGTATTCTTTGATGTTAACACATTTTGTATAATTGTATCGTATAGCTGTAATGAAATCATGTAGTATCAAATATTAGATGTGATTTAATAGTGTTAATCAATTTAAACCCATTTTAGTCACTTTTTTTGGAGAAATACTGCCAGATGCTGATGTTCAGTGTAATTTCTTTGCCTGTTCAGTTACGGAAAGTGGTGCTCAGTTGTAGAATGTATTGTACAGGCACTGACCTTTTATTAACACCTGATAATATGTACATCCCGTGTAATAGAAAGGGCAACAATAAAACAGTGGTCCTAAAGAAAGAATATGGCAGAAAATGATCTGTTAGCACAGCTTGTTTTTTTTTTTTGTTGTCCAGAGCAGTCCTAGTTCCTCTTGACTTCCCAGAAATTGGAAGCTAAATAAACTCAAGTTTCCTTTATTTTGCATTCAATTACAATGATTTGCGATGAAATTACACGATGCCACGTCAGGTTTGCTGACTGTAATTTTGTTTTTGAGTGACCTAGACTTCCATTAACTGGAACGGTGGATTTGCAGACTTGGCAGTGTAGTGGGGAGTCTTCAGTGTGCCTGGACAGCAACTAGGTAAAACAGTACAGCAAATAACTAAATGGGCACCTTTGTTTAGTCAAGGTAAGGAATCTTGGAGGATTAAATGCAGTAACAATAGAAAGTGGGGGAACGGTAGGGTTTGAGTGGTCATACCAGGAAAAAAAGAAAATTGTCTTTTTCTTTTGGCTAACTTGTTTGACTGAGCGTAATGATGAAAATTCTTGGAACCTCGTCAGACACCTTTTACTTAAACAGGAACCTGGAGTTCTCAGAGAACTTGATGGAGTTTTATGGTCTAACTAAAAGTGATTACTACTCATTTGTTCAAATGTTCAAAGTAAGAAATTTGCAGATACTATAGTAAAATGTGACAGATAATAAACCTAAGAATATGCACAGAAATGCATAAGTATTATTTTTTTGAGAGGGATGTGGCATTTTAATATAGTAAAAGCTGTTTGTTAATCTTTTTCTGAATTCTGTTCTTACAAGGTTCATCAAATTTTTCATTGTTAATACCTTAAAACTTACTTTTGACTTCAGTTTTGGTGGTAGTGGAAAAAAACATGGGTAATAACAAAACCGCTTAAGACCGAGGGAGTTTTCGTTTGTACATAAATTAATCTGAACACTGCAGCTTTAGTCTGAGGTTACTAAGAGTAGAAAGAAAGATGGGACATTTAATTGTAAAGTATGCATTAGAATTTTGGCAGTATTTTCTTTCATATAAACAGTTCTTGACCAGACATTATACTGAAACTTGTATAGTTATAGTTAAATTAAATTCTGTATACAGTTAAATTAGCATCTATTCTTTTTGGAAGGAAATAAAATCAGTTCAGTCTAGTTCTAATTGACCTTACATTTTTTTTTTAAACAGTATATATGATGGTGTTAGGCTTGCTCAGAAGTTGGCTTTCCTGTGTCATAAAGTGGTACCCGTTTTATTGAATTGCAAGGTAAAGAGATTCCTTGGTGGTGTTAGTACATTATCCTTGAATGTACATTTGAGACTAAATTATTTATATTAAATACTGATTTGAGGATTAACCGGGAACTGAAACTTGTATTGCCCCTAGTTGTATTGCATCTGATTACAGAGAGAGATATGAAAAGTTTTCATCTATGCCTCAAATCAGTAGCATTCAATACACCCCTGAGTGTAAGTAGCAGCACTTAGTAGCATGAAAGATCTTGCTTTGTAACTAGTTAATTCCATATTGGGTATGAATAAATACTTGCATTGAACAGCTTCTGTAAGTTATTTAAGCTTTTAAAGTGTAATTGGCACATCTTGTTCTTAAAACGTCATGCTTAGTTGATTCCAGAGTTCCCCTTACGGATTTTCAGTGAAGCAATTAGAGGTGTTGAGAATAGCCACAGAGATGACTTTGAAACCACCATTGCCAGCCTACTATCCACAAGTTCCTGCATTATACCACCAATTTGTGAGCGAGTTCAGGTCAGGGGAGGAGAGTCTGAGGGGCTGGGGAAATGTAGCCAGTGGTTTTAAAGCTGGCAAAAGATTTAAGTGCTTACTTATTGTGCCTGTTCTACTGCTCATTTGATCTTACATTTCCTGTTACCTTACCTGGGTTCCCTTGCTGTCAAAGTGAAAGGAGACAAATTCTGTAGCTGCGTATCTTTTGGACTCGGACCATTTTTTTAAAAGGTAGAACTGACAATCAACTTCCAGCTGTGCCTGTGGTGTGCCAGCAGTGGTATGTCCTGCTGTAAATACAAGACAAATGGAACTTAAATACCTATTCTGGAGATTGCTTTTCTTGAAAAGGTTGTAGGAGGAGCCCAGGTACAGATTTGAAATGCTAAGTGAATAAGTTCTTAGTGAAATGGAATGCCAGGACCTCAGCTGATCTTGCACTTGATTTTACTTACTTTCTTTTGAAGAGACTTGTGGTTGAATTAAGGTAGTGCGATTGTCAGCCAACAAACCCAAATACTAAACACCTTCTAACAACACAGCTTGTCAGCGGTAATGCGGTTTTAAAGGCAGACTGAGATCCTTTCCCTCTGCTAATTCCACAGTAAGTAAAAAGCAGAAGCAATGGTTAACAGAAATGGCAAAATTATTGAGGCTTTAAAATGTTTGAAGAAAGGTAGTCCCTTCAGAGGGCTAGGCAAAGAGGAATGGCGGTGGCAATAAAAGGTGTTTCCACTTGGTTGTCACCAGCCCTAAGGTGCTCCCAGGATATTTTATTAGTGTGTGCTTTGGAAAAACTGGGACTGATTAGTCTTCCTACTCAGCTGAGATGGACAAGCTGGAGCACAGTATGTGCTGAATAGCACTCTTCAAAATGCAGTTCCTTAATGCCTTGAAGAAATGGAGAAAGATCAGTATTTTTGTCAGGGCTGCTAGACACATCTGTCTGGGGAGTCTAATCAGTCAAGTGGTAGCTGTTACTGGCGTTGGTTGATCCAGTTGTTCTATAATGATGGCAGCGAAATAAAAAGTTTTTTAATCTGTGCAGCACTTTAAGTGTGTGTTACAGTGGTTCGGGGAGGGAAGTAAACAATATTTGTGTCGGCGTTAAGCTTTGACTTCTTAGGAACTGTAGTAATGTTGCTGTATGGCTTGAAGCTATGGAGAAATCAAAGGTCCTTCAAAGCTTCAGAACTTGGGGTGGATTTCAAAACTCACTGTTGGGTGTAAATTTTGCAGGCGGGAATTAAAATAAAAGTTGGATTTGAGACCAGTATGCTTTGTTTTAGCTGTGTAAATGGAAAAAAGGCACTTCCCTTGGGAAGAGTGAAAAGGTTTCTTGTACCAGCCTGATTTGGCAGCCCTCGGTCAAAAGAATGGGAGTGTGATATGAGGAAGAGGGTGTGAGACTCTGCTGTAGAAAACTAGAAGCAGAAACATCTACACAGTGATCCGTAAAGGTACAAACAAATCGGAGGTGGAATGTACATGCTTGTGTTACCACCAGTCTCCGTATTCATTTTGATCATATGAATTGGTCTCGTATCAAGTTGCAGAAGGCTAACAGTGTGAAGGTGGCTTTACAGCAATGCTTAAATACCACCTGGATGGCTACCAGCTTCATTTTGTAAGGTAATTTAATCAGTGGTCCTTTAGTTTCATTCTCTTTGCCTAAAATAAACTAGCTTATGCAAGTTTGTGTGTACATCACAATCATCCTATATTATTAAGGCAGTTTTGCTTAGAATTTTTTTCAGTCTCTCTGTTTTCTGGAAGTAATCTGAAGAATATTGAATTTCTCTTTGGAGAAAGCACATCAGACTCAGTATAAGTGTTCATGTTAATTTTTCAGGTCCTGGCTTGCCCTGTTTTGTTGTAGGCAAATGAGTAAGATCACTTATAGCGACTGTGTTTTAGACAACTCTGGTTCTGGGGTTTTCTTAAGTCTTTGTTGTTTTTTCTAACAGAAAAACTTTAGAATTGGATGCTGGTTGGATACTGTTCCTTCTACTGCGTGTTGCAGTATGGATGTAATACCCCTCTTGTGAACTGCTGTTCTCACAAGATTCCTGTGCAAAGTGGACAGTCTTTTCTGGAGCAGGCCTGAAGTTCTGTAGAAATACTGGTCAATTTTGGGAGGGAGGGAAAGGGAGAGAGAGTCTGTGGGGTCCTTTCAGGACTTTTGAATGCTTCTCTTGCCACCACTTTTATATTAAGTGTTCTTGTAGGTTTAAGTGCAATTTCTCTGTAATAGGGCTGGTATGAGGTAGCATCTGTGTCAATGCTTTTAAGTCTGTACTGCTCTTGAATAGGAGCTTGCCAGGAGATGGCAGTGAATTACCAGTTTGTACAGCTGGACCAGCAGACAGAATAGCAAAGTGTCAGGGTGCCCTATGAGGTCAAGTGTGTGGAGGGTGTCCTGTGGTGTTCAGTAGACCTTGACAGACTTGGAACGTGCCAGTGTCAAAGAGCAAGTTTCCCACACCAGTGCAGAAGAATAAGAAGTGCAGCTCTGTGCTGCTCTCTGAGAGTCCCAAGTGTACTTGTGCATTCTTAAAAACCACCAGCAAGGCGATGGGAAAAAAAAAAAAAAGACCGTAAGTAAAAGCTGTTGAGTGCGACATGGATCGTATATTTTTAGGGGATCCATACATCCAATATTAATATCAAATAAAGAGAAATGTGGAAATTAATTACATGTAGCGTTAGCGAATGTGCTTTCAACTGTAAGTGGCTATTTTGGTTAGCTTATAGACATGTAAAACACCAATGCTTCACTCCCGCAGTGGCTTGCTAAAAGTTTAAGATCACTTGAGGCAGTTAGGGCCTCACCATTTGACTTTCCTTCAGTGTGGTGCAGCTTGTAATGTTTGTAAAGCCATTCAGAGACTGCAGGACAGATGTTGCATCAGGCAGTCCTGCATTGCTCCTCTTTAGGGATTCAAAGATCTCAAGTAAACTGGTTCTCCCTGGAGCAGGCCCACAGTAAAGGTGTATTTCAGAGGGACGTTGTTTGTGAATAACAGAAGCATTTTTTGAGGTAAATCGTAGAGCAGATAAAGACAAGGCATAAGATGGACTCTGTTAAATAGTGGAAAACCCATAAACAAAAAAGCTTGGTGAGTGGATGTGCCCTAACATACTTCAGCTAAAGCTCATCTCAGCAATCGGCTGCAAGACAAATCTGCAGAAAGCACTGTCTTACTAGATGGTGTTTTGATTTAAGGGCTGATGAAATCTGGTGACCTTCAGAGCTGCAAGGTGCTTGACAAGGACCTCACTAACGTTGCCAATTGCGATTTTGGCTTTCAAAGTTTTTGACTGCCTTACACGTGGGGCATCATGCAGCTTATGTTTGGACTTATTCTTTAACACATCTCTCAGTAAAGCAGAAGGTTTGGCCTTTGGATGTAGAATCCTTCAGTCTTCAATCTTAACCTGTGCTTTGACTGAACCTCCAGTGGATTTATGAATCCAGTGACTCCCATAACTTGAAAGGGCATACAGATGTTTATGCTTTGGAAATGGATTGTAAGGAATAATGCTATGGCAGGTTTTCAGGATTTCCTCTTGTGTGTTTTGTTTGTTTGTTTGTTTTATTCTTTCCCCTTGCATAGGTTAGGGATAGGGGATTTTATCTCAACTTATTCCAGAGCGTGAAATGAAAGTGTACAGTCTCTCAGATGTGAACTGTCAGGGAAGGAGGTATCTGCCTGGAGGAAATTAAGGGTAAGAGTGTTATTTTTACTTTTACCTCCTTTAATTGCAGTTAAAAAGCTTGAGCTTTATTACTAGCTTGTTTGAAAATCACCTGTTGTAGATTCTTCCTTAAGTGAAAATGCATCAGTGCACAAGGAAGAAGGCATGTGGCCTGGTTGATTGCAACCCTTGAGTATACCTGATCTAGGATAAGTCTGTGCTTAAGATAAATAGCTCAGGTCCTGGAAAAAGAGTACTAATTTCCTTTAATGCCAACTTTAGTCTAGCCAAGTCAAATTACTCTAGTAACAATTTTTCCTGTTTTGATATATTTAGCAAACTGCAGACCCATGAGGTTAAGCTTCATTATGATTTTAGTATTTTAGCGATTGACACATGGATATGGCCGAAATGGTACAAATGTGTTTTACTGTTAGTAAAAACCAGAGGGTTTCTTCCAGTAAGAAAAAGCAGTCATAATGAAGTATTAGTAGTAATAGTGAATGATACCAAGAAGCAATTTAACTGTTAGATGTGAAGTTTTGTAGACGTGAAGAGTGTTTTGTAAACATTAGAACTTTCCTTTCTTCCATTTATATCAATGTATAGGGTATTGTTTTTCACTGCAGACCTTGCCTTGCTCACTTTCAATGTATTGATGAAACTGTACAGCTTAAAATCACATTCTAGGTCAAATCAGGTAAAACTGATGATTAACGATAAGTAGACAAGCTTTCACTGTATATCGTATGTATTATTGTGCACATTATGTCACTAATTTTTTTTTTTCCCCTGTTAGCGATAGCCAGTTTTGTAATAGTGAGGACAACACTAGTACAAAAATTGCAGAACATTTGCACTGGGAGGATGATAAACAGCTTATTTTCCTCTGCTTTCCTCCCCCACTGGCCATGAACATAGATAAATTCCTGAACACTGAAAGAAGCAATTTGCTTCCTCGTGATTTCAAAGCCTGTCTCCAGTAGGTTTGGCCCAGCAAGTTCCCTGGTTCTCTGCTCTCTTGTTGTGCCTCCCACAGTCCCTTAGATCCTTCATCTGTCTCTGTGGCTGTGGTGGTTGATAAGGCATGTTGCCTTGGGTAAGCTTCTATTTTCTCTGGCTGTTTTTATGGCAGAAGAGGGGTTTAGTTGCACTTTCTGCTAATCTGATGGTGGTTGGCACACTTCTGGGCTTTAAGTTAACTATCCACAGATCTAAAGTCTGGCTAACAGCTGTTAACACCTGTTTTCCAGAATAGTAGTAAATATATTCAATATCAAAGAACCAACACATTTCTTCGCTGCAAGGTCAACTTTTTATACTATATACTATATTTTTTCTGCTATATGCAGAGAAAGGCAAGGAAGAGAGGGCCCTCCCCAAAAAATACTGTCATGTTACAGTCGCAGACATGATAAATGAACTGAATTCCACCCCAGTAGTCTTGCTATAATAACTTCTTTAAAACTTGGAAGGTTGTACCTGGGTGCTGCTTTTCCCTCTTGTCCTAATTAGGCATATTTGTGGCTGCAACTCATAACAGTGGTGTAACCCATCTACTAGCAGGGTGGGTCATAAGCAAGAGTAGAGCACGGCGGCTTCATAGTAGGTGAGCTTTATGTTCAGCGAGTTTTACGTTCTTACTCCCTTCAGTTGTTGGGGTATTAGTAGAGCATCTCCTACCCAGTATCATGATGCTTGGTGATGCCTGTGGGAAGGAGGATCTGGGGAGGCAGAATACCGTTCTGTCTGACTTGGCTAAATTGGCTGACATATCGGAAATCTAGCAGGAAGGACCTGAATCATATTTAAAAAGTCTGAGGCTGTTGTCTAGCTTGATTTAATAGTTAGGAGTCACACAGATTTCAAGCAAGTGACATCAGAGCAGTTTGAAAGCCAGGTGTTACTGTTCTCCTAGGCTTGTTGAGTAACCTCCAGTGTTGTCTGCTGATTATATAAGTTTCAGATGATGAATTTCTGGAGAGAATGTTTTAGTAAATACTGCAAGTAAGACATTGGGTAGACCTTTCTGTTTTAATGATGTTACCGTCTTTTAGGGTAAGACACCGTTTGCTTATTCCAAGTATTTGTTTCTGTGCCATAGTTCAGCATTGTTGTTCCTGCTGGGAGAATGCAAGGTAGTTGACTGGAACCACCCCTGGCCATGGTTAGTTGAAGTGGTGGCCTTTTCCTTTTCTGATCCAGCAGACTGATGCTGGACAGTTTCTTTCAGTCACGTGTATCTACCCTTTAAGAAGATGAATTGGCAGAGCCAGTACCTGAAATAACCTCTATCAGCAATGAGAGGCCTTTTTTGTAGGTCGTCGTAACACACATCATCCTACTTCTGTGTGGCTTTTTATTTGGAATATTGATGCTCTTTGTGGGCTAGTTGCGCTGTCTAAAACCAAAAAACTACAACCTACAAAGCTTTTTGCTAAACTTGTGCATCTTAGAGCCAAGCATTCTTCTGATTCAGGTATGAGCAGTGCTGTTGGCAGATGTGGTACTTGATTCTGATGTGACTCTGCAGGGACCCTAGACTTGTCTTCCACAGTTGTGCAGCCTTGGTGCTGATCAGCACTGCTTAAACAAAATAAATGCAGAATGTGGAGGGTCCAAGCATGCTGCCAGCTCTTTGGCTCTAAAAATGGGATTGTTCTCTTAGTATCTAGAATATTTTCAAGTGAAGTACTCACTGAAAAGATCAGTTTGAAGAAGCGAGCTCAGGCACCTTCCCTTCTTTGCTTCAACAACACTGTAAGCCAGAGCAAGGCATTGCCCTTCCTGGTGGTGCGTGGAAGGCAGATGGGGAACAAGTCTCTTCAGGCAAAAGCCAGAAACCCCACCCTCTTAAAAGGTAGATTTAATGCAAGGAAGCATGTGAGTGAAACGCAAGAAACTTTAAAGAACCAAAGTAAAAATTTTTTAAAAATTTATTTCCTCAATTTTATATACAATAATTAGACTGCTATACAAAGGTGTAAATGGTCTTTGCTGTAAGGAGTTGTGCATATGCAGCTTAGTAGACAGATTTAACATTCAATTTGAATCTCAGTGCAAGTAGGCACTAAAAACATCCAACATACCTCCAAGGTATAAAAAGACATACCAGTTTTACAGGTTTCTCCAGCATATTTTTTTACAGTGCAAAATGCTATGAAATAAGGTTTCTTTAGAAAATTCATATAAATTAAACACATATTGCACTTGTCCCAACCAAAAGTGTAACAAGTTGTACTTACTGAACTAGTCTGATACATTTTAGAACATCCTTCACACACATGCACTCCTTCCTGCAGGTTATTTGTGCCAAATATGTGTAGGTCTTATTCCAAATCTTAAATAACTGTTTATAGCTCTTTGACTAATGCAATTGCTCTTGAACAGACTGCTAGAAAAACCCAGAGCGGATGAATGTAACAAGAAAATTCTCTAAAACCCTTTTCAGTGTTCTTTCCAGTAGCACTGTAACTAAATACATAACAATCAGTATTTAAATTCATAACACAAGTGTATTGAACGCCAACCATTTCAGACACACCCCTATTTTCTGGAAAGGGATGAAACCTCCAGTTCTAAACATGTATGTATTTCTACAGTACTTCAAGCTGCTAAGCTAACATTGCACTGACAAACATTTTGTGCAATACCACAGGCAGGACTTTGACTTCTGTACATCACTGGCTGCTATGGGGCATGTTGGGAGAAGTGGTGCAAAGTTGCATTAACTTCAGAGAACAAAGTCTACTTGGACTGAATACAGTCAATGCAATCTGTGCACCCACCAAACATGAAATAGAGGTGAAGGCAAATAGCATCAATCTTACAAGATTTTAGTTTCCCTAAATCCTTAGAAGCCTTGAGATTTAAAGGAACAAGTGCATATGAGTACAGATGCTAACTTTGTGCTTAAGATATTTATTCAAAGCTGAAAGGTAAGGGAGTAGCTTAGAAACAAATAATTTTTTTTTTTTTTTTTTTTTTTTTAGCAAACCAGTATGAACAAAGTTGCTACCAAAACCACTGACATATAAAAGCAGAGGAAAAGTAACACACAGGGCTAGCTGAATGCTAGTCCACATCTTAAAAACAGTTCAGGGTTACCTGCAAAATGCCTCCAACATTTAACTTCGTCCCCCTACTTCACCTTAGAGGACTTCACTTACTTCTATTACATACAAAAAGAGTATTTTTTAATTTTTTTTTTTTTTTCCTGAAAACACTTTTGCATTCAGCTCAGCTCAGTCACTCAGACCACGAGTGGAAGAAAACCTGATCTCTGGTACTATGACATTTTCCAGATCCTCTTCTGGAGCTGCAACAGTAACTGTACAGTACTTTCTAAAGGCAGGTCCCCATCTTACTTGGATACTACTAGATATGAAGTCCTTACTAAGGCAATATGCTGTTTATACAAGTAATGAGATGAAATCCTAATTTGACACATTTAGGAATTCTTTATACAGATAGCATATGTTTACACCACTTGTGCAGGTCAAGTGTTTATGCTTAAAAAAACCCAACAAGCCGGGCTTTGGATCAGGATAACAGGTAAGGTTCACAAACTGGAAGGCTGCTGGATTACTGGACCTGGTTCACATTCATGAAGGTTGTCTTCTGACCTCATATACATTAGGAACACAGTGACAGTAGCAAAGGTAGCTGCATTGACAGGAAAAGCACGGAGAAGTGTGGAAGTAAGACCTCTTGTGAACACCCTCCAGCCTTCTTCATGGTAGCTCTTTCTGACGCAGTCTAAAATGCCGTTGTATTGTGTAACACCCCCGACTCCATCGGCCTGAAGCCGAGATTTGATCACATCCACAGGATAGGTTGAGAGCCAGGACACGATTCCTGACATCCCCCCAGAAAACAGCAATTTGGGAATAACGTAACTGTCTTCAGCTTCACAGCCTAAATACCTGGTCATGCAGTCATAGGTCAGGAAGTAAAAGCCAAAGCTTGGAGTCTCTCTTATGAACGTAGAGACCATGCCCCTGTTGATACCCCTCAGCCCTTCCTTTTGATAGATTTTGATCAAACAATCCAGAGAATTTTTGTAGTTCTTCGTTTTTAGTTTGTATTCACCTGTTCCTTGAAGCTGCATTCTTGTCTTTGCCAGCTCCATGGGACAGCAGATGATGCACTGGATAGCCCCTGCTGCTGACCCTGCAAGAAACTGGTTCAGAGGAGTGTCTTTTCCAAGAGCACGAAGCGTGTTTCCTTGTACACCGAACACAAGTGCATTAATGAAGGTAAGTCCCATCATTGGTGACCCAATACCTTTATAGAGTCCAAAAGCCTAATGGAAGAAAGAAGGAAACACTCTTTGTAACAGTGGTGTTGATAACCTCCTGACACTGTGCCTTTCTGGCTCTCCCTCGTGCTCTAACTTTAACAGTTGCCAGAAGATCAGTACCATCTTGCCTTGTAATAATAATTTCATTGCTGCCTAGTATGCAGCATTTTTAGCAGTACACATATGTAGTTGAACACGTCCAGAAAACAATCTTAGTCCATTCAGAGAAAAGTTTTCTGGTAAATTTTATACTTTACTTTTAAGTAGCCAAAAGCCTAAAGCCACCCTTTTAGTTATGGTCTTAAAGCTTCAGCAGAAAAAAAAACCCTTACCAATTTCTTCACTCCTTCCTCAGATTGCTTGGATTCTTAGAAAATTAACTATTCAAATAACTCATTCTTATTAAAAAAGTTAACTTCAAAATACCAACTTCCAACTTGGTGATCTTCTTTGTGACATGTCTGGCAAACTTCTGACTGCAATATCTGCCCTATGATCAGGTGAGGTTCAGAGTACGCTTTTCTCTTGATCGTCAGTATTTGTAGGGTTCTTTAACAGCTTTCCCACCCTTCCGATATAAAAATATATGAAGATGCAAAATATGTAAAGTATTAATTTTGTACTTACAGATTCTTGCTTTATGATGGACTGAAAGCAATGGAAGGTCCCACGGTAGAGAGGTTTCTCTACATTTTGAACTTGTAGACGAACCTATAAAAAGTTGTACGAGATACTGATTTGTATGTCAGGAGCAGCCTAATTGGTAAACTAGTGTCTTGTACGTATATGGAGATTTGCTATAGCAATGTATATATGCAAGAGCACACTGGAATGCCATATGTGGCAAAATAATTTAAAAATAGTCTGTAGGTGTTTTGAATTAATTTTGGGCGTGAAAACATGAAGGGAGGAGGATTAACTTCTCATGAATATTAGAAAAACAGTATGTGGAAGTACCACAGGGTACACTTATCTTGAATTTCAGATTGAAGTTTTACAGTGCTGGCTACAATAAGTACTTTCTTTAGCTGCCAAGAATACTTCTGTTCGCACTAAGGACTATCTGTACAAACCTGATAGAATTTTATAAAAATTTGTCAAGCATGAAATAACGATAATTGTAAAAGGATGGAAACTTTAAACACCACCACCCACAGTGTTTTGGGCTACCAGACTTGGGACCCTTTACTGAGATCTGACTTTTTTCAGAGGGTAGCTGGGAAGAGACTCTTAAGATGTCTTACTTTGCATAAGGAAAGAATAAAAAGTAACTTGTCCTTTTAAATTTTAGCCTGTTTTTTTAACAGTAAGTTAAAAATGCAAACAATTTGTGATGATGTGGCTGTTTCAAACCTTTAATGCTAGTAATCAGTTAACTTTTCCAGAACTGAAATGGTATGTTCTGCTGGACAGATAGAAGCTACTGCAACTGATGACATCAGGAGATAGGCCAATCACCCAGATATTTTTCAATATTTAATGGCAAAGTTCACTTCAGTTTTTCCTGCTAATTTGTCCTCAACACATTTCAAACAAAACAAAAAATCCTCAAAGCTACCTAGTTTGTGCAGAACCTTACACTGCAATAAAGTCAAATTGATTTCACTGGATTGGGGAAGTTAGAAATCTGTCTTTGATCTCCAGCATGGAGGGTTGCAATGTTCCTCAGAAAAGACGCTTATCAACCATTTAATGCTACAGGGCAAAAAACTTCAAGCCTCTAATTCTGAACAAAAAAGAAGATAATCAGGTCAACGTGAGAAACTCCTGACTGTAAAATGTCTTTATCCCTATTTGCCTAAAGTAATAATAAACACCACCACCACAATGAAAGACCCATAAGATGATGTGGGTCTAGAAAGGGATTTGGCGACGTGGTTTGTCAAAATTCTACATTCAGGTTAGTTTTCTCTGAGGCAAAAATTTAATTATTTACAGTTTCAGTATATTTTGTGTCCCTACAACATGGTATTTTATGTTTTGTAAATTGAAACTTTAGGTTTTAGTGTCTCTTTAGTATACATGTTAGTGTACACTAGCCAGACTGGGAGGCTGAGATCATCTCAGGTCTTCCAAGATGGAACAGGGTTTTCAAACTTCTTAGAGTTAAAAGTAGGCTTATAGTAGAATTTGAAGCAAATAAATCCTTTGTTACCTAAAGTGACTTGGGGGGGCCAGGCAGACTGTTAAAACTGCTCAAGAAGCAGACCCACAAGCACAAACATAAATCTTAACAAGCTATCAGAATTGCACAATGCAAAGATTTTACTCCACTTATAACTTACTGCTATTGTTTCAAACCCTGTCTGTGCAGTCAAGGGACTTCCACATGTATGGGCTTTGGGAAAATTGCAGCTTAGGAACCTTCTTACTTTAACTTTTCTATATGCTTGTCTTCAGTAGTTTAGAATTAGTCATATTCTGTACATAGATTGAATTTCCTAGTGGCATACAGCTCCCACTACTTTTGTCTAAATTTTTGAAATATTGACCAATTAAGTCTTGTTGTAGGATAAAATATTTAGAGAGTACTGATGCTCCAGGTTTAAGAATGAAAAGCAGCTCTCATTGGAGAAGAGGAGACTGAGGGGTGACCTCATTAATGTTTATAAACATATAAAGGGTGAGTGTCAGGAGGATGAAGCTGGGCTCTTCTCAGTGATGTCCAATGACAGAACAAGGGGCAATGGGTGCAAGCTGGAGCATAGGAGGTTCCACATTAACATAAGGAAAAACTTTTTCACTGTGAGGGTGGCAGAACACTGGAACAGGCTGCCCAGAGATGTTGTGGAGCCTCCTTCCCTGGAGGTAGTCAAAATCCACCTGGATGCATTCCTGTGTGATCTACTCCAGGTGGTCCTGCTCTGGCAGGGGCATTGGACTAGATAATCTTTCGAGATCCCTTCCAATCCCTAACATTCTGTGATTCTGTGAGCACGGTGATGACCACAGAGGGATACCTACATTAGCAAATGGCCAGGTAAGGCAATGAATGCATATGAAATTTTATTTCATGAGTATTAATGCCATATTCAACAAGCTTTTTAATGTGTACAACTAGGAAGGATGAATCATGTGCAAAGTTTAACCCTCTATTTTATTCATTGCCCAATATTCTTGCATCCTTTTTAGTTGAAACCACTGTTACTAAGGTTTTAGGGACAATAGTAATGCACTGTAATTTCACATCACTAAAGACTTGTGTAAATGTACTCAAGACTAAGCAAAAAAACCCGGAGCATCACACCTCCAAAAGAGTCCAAACATATTATAATATTTGAAATAAGCTGTTTAGCAGTGTTTGAGCAATGGAAATGTCCTCTAAGGATATGTAGTGGATAGGCACACTGTTGTTGAGGTCTTAAGATTCAGTTTTAGAGCCATTGTGTGTGGAAGTGTATATAGCCAGAAATGCATACCAGAAAGAAGGTTCAGACCAAGACTTTACACTTAAAGGATATTTAAACCCCACTCCCTCCATGCCATAGCTGTAGAAGAGGGACACATCAGTTTAAAACTAAAAAGGGAAAAAGCTTCACAAGTCTTTTAGACCTTTATTTGAACTAATACATTTGGGAATAAATTAAGACTGAGAGAAACAGAAGTGTTCACCTGGGCTATACTTACTAGGTAACTCTCCCGTGATGAGGCTTATCTGTCATCTACAACAAAGTAACACTTTTGCTGTTAATGAAGACAGCCCCTAGCTCAGAAAGTAAAGGCAGTTAAAAGCAAAAAAGCAATTTTATACATAACATCAACAAACCAGGGATAAGGAGTTTGCCAGTTTTGAGATCAGCTCAGTTGTGGGTTTCACAGGGTGACTTCCCCAGCTTAATCTCTCCCTGTGTGTCCCACCATCCCCCTCCCCACTTTGTGAAACATGATCACCAGCCAAAAAAAAAAAAAAAGAAAGCTTAAAAGCCAAGACAGAAGTAAAATTCTGGCTTATCCAAGCAGCTTTCCCATGGTTCAGTTATAGTAAAAACTTACAGTCTAAGGTGACTACCAGCTAGCCCTTTAAACACTGCATTACTATAAAAGGGTTAGTTCTTAACACAAATACATACACAAGTTATGCAATGTCTGTTTGTTGATTTGCTGTTTGTTTTGGTTTTTTTTTTAAAGACTGGTTACAGAGTTAAGTTTTCCCCACATACAGTGGTCACTATGGCAGCTAATAACACAAACATTAGTATTTTCTCTAACAAAAAAAATAGATAAATGCTTATAATACCTTCTGATGGGTATGGAAATCTAGTGTGCCACACTGGATTTCATAAAACATTTAAAGTCATCTCCAGACAAACTGGTTTTCTCTATTGTAAAGCAAGACGCTTTTTTTAAAGCCAACACATCTGTTTTTGCATTAATACATCTGCTGGAACTAGCGCAGGAGCCCCAGTTTTGCAGACACTTAAATGTTTAGTTTCATGCACTAGAAGCTGTTCCACTTTAAAAACCAAGAAATCCCCACACATGCTTAACTTTAGACTGAGCACAGGATTTTAGTAGTTTTGCTCACTTTAGTGAAGTGACCCATCACCTTAAGTTAAGCATGTAAAGCTTGGCAGGATGGGGGTGAGAAAAGATGACAGCTGGGCCTGTGCCACTGAAAAAAAAAGTGCAAGTCTAGATAATACCATTTCTGAAAATATATACTAGAATTCAGCCCAAATACTTAACAGTCAAATTTACCATGCTCTGAGAAACATATATACAGTTTGTACTATTTGAGCAGCTTGCACTGGATTGGCAAGGGCTAATATCCCGCTAGCTAGGAAAGTGTGTATGAATTAACCATGTGCTAGAATACAGAACATGGTGATGGCCTCTGTAACACTATCAGTGTGTTCATATCTAAAATCAACAAGGTAGAGGTATTCCCAATATAGCTCTAGCGAGTGGCATGTCTGCTGCAGTCAAGTGATCTGGTGTATTTAGCAGGGAATATGTTGGCATCCCTTTTTCTATTCTTCCAGTGCAAGGCTTTGGATAAGGCTGCCAAAAAGTGACTTAAGTTGTCATCTCATTCTGAAAAATGGGCTTGGACCCCTGGCTGAAGGGCCCTCCAGGAGATTTTAGATCTTATCTTTGAAGTAGCTACCCTTAGTATGCATAATAAATACAGCTAACAGACCATCATAAAATCAATTTTAACTTGGAAAGTTATAAAAATACTTAAAGGGAGGAAAAAGCCCCCAGACAAGATTCATGCTATGGATTTTTTTTTATCCATTTATACCCTTTGGCTAGTGTAACAAATTAATGCTTGAGGAGTAAGTAGCAAAGCTTGAGGGGAAAACAAACCACAAATTTTCCACCTAGTAACAAAGTAGATTTGAGTTACAAAGGTAGGGAGAGGCAGTTTTAGCAGTTAGTGATGAACAGCTGCAGGGAAGCAAGCTTAGAACAAAATTAAGTTAAATGTAAGACTGTATTTTCAAATACAGCAGTGTTACTGCACTGATGAACTTCTGGTAGCTTAGGCCAATGTTTGTCATGTTACTGGGTTGAATCATACATACACAGAATTTTTTCACTTCTGAAGAGCTAGAGACTGCAAATCTATAAACAGTGGTTGAAGAGGCTTGCTCTAAGCTTTCCAGCACAGATTTGTGCTCCTACCATGTCTGGGGATTTTTTTTCCTCCCCTACTCCTTGGAAAGGCTTTGTTTGCTACCTAGAGACAAAGATATTTCATAATCAACCCACCTTAACAGTGTCAAATGGGTGTCCTACCAGCACTCCGGCAGCACCTGAAACAAAACAGATGCCACGGTTATGACTCACAGTTCTCTTCCTGGGTCTGGGGCTACAGTAGCCCAAGCACAACCACCAGCCTGAGATGTAAGTGCACAATGCTGTTGGTAGGCCAGGTAAAAGCATCCTTTCAAGTCAGAAGATGAGAGATCTACAGTTTAGTCTTTCAGGCCTGTACTAGGTTCCTTTATGCTCCCATCTAGCTTCTGAGCCCCAGGCAGGGGCTGAGGTATGTGACTACAGAGCATGCCACATCATACTTGTAGTTCAGCAGTGATTCCTGGCCTCAGCCCAAGGCAAGTTCAGTGGGCAGAAATTGCAGATTTCCTCCAAAGCACAATATTTCATGTACATGCTGCTCTGTGGAAGCATAGAAAAGCTGGAAGCTTCTCTAGAGGAAGAAGAAACTCCCTGCTCTGCCCACAGCCTTTCCTGGTGTGTTGGTAGCACCTGCAGAAGGACCATGCATTACCAAAAACCTTTGCTTTATTCTAGCATCAGAGGACTTTTTAGAGGTTATTGCAGGCCTATTAGTTACACCGCTTCATCTGACTATGTGCATTTTGCACTGGAAAATACAAGTACTGGCTGAAGCCAGGGAATCCTCTAACTCCTAAATTTTGTGATCCAAAACTAGAAGTTCAATTCATTTATGACCTTCTCACATTTGCAGAAAGATAATGTCCCTCCCTCTCCCCAAGAAGATATGGCAGAAATACAAAGCCCCACTCTAGGATGGAGTAGTCCAGATTGGTCAAGGCCAGCACAGCAGCAAGATAGTCCAAGTCACAAAAATACCGATGTGCACTGTGTTCAGCACGAAAAGACCAGTGGCACAACTGACCATATGGGATCCCTAGCAAGGCAAGGATCATTAAGACAAAGTCAGAGTCAAAAAAAAAAAAAAAAAAAAAATCTTTGCCAGGTTAGGAAGGAGACCAGCAAATGCAAATAACTGAAAAGACACAAGAATAAATCTCCTGAACACAATTTAACAACGGCTAAAAATAGAGGAAGGAAGGCCGTAAGCAGATGCACAGGGAAGAGCGAGATGAGCAGCCGTATTCTCGCCT